TTTTTGAATCCACGTAAGTGACGCACCAAATAGTTTGATTGTAAATCTTAGTAATTCGAACAATATGTTGACGATTCAGTTACGTGCCTATAAAATAGTACAGTTAACATAGATTCTGGAGTAAGTACTTATAGGTATTGGGGAAATGTTTACAGATTGTATTTAGTGAAGTGTTATCTTGTACATAGTTCTTGATTTATAGGTAAACAGTTTGTTTAGTTTGTAATCACGTGGGATGACTGAACTAGAATGTCTGCGGTTTAGTTTGTATCTAGTGTAATATATCTTAGGATTTAGTCACAGTTACCATTTAATGGGATAATATATTGATTTTGTATACAATGTGGTCAGATAAATTCTATACAAAGTATTGTTTCCAATCCAAAAGTAGTCCAAACATGCTCTTAACAAACAGACTTGTTTCCCATGGGGACAAGAGACTAGGGAACGCCAATTACTATGATTCCTACATACCTCTTTCGCTTCATCAACAATCATCAATCTTTTCATGCATGCTCGTCGGTTAAGGGTACTTTTAATTTGGCCCTTCTTTAATATATCGCCAATCGGGTCACTATATTTCCGTCTAGGGCGCCTTCTACCGACGGCCCCATTCATATTCATATATGTATAATATTTCGTAAGACAATAAATAAACCAGAAAAGAAATTTAAAGATATAAAAATATCGGCATAAAACCTCAATTTTTCTGTGTTACAAAGCCTGTCCAATTTTTTGTCCTTCCATCATTCACAAAAATAGACGTGATTTTTTGCATCAATGTAGTTTATGAACAAGGAAGTAATATGAATCGCTATACTTGATGTTCCGAGAAATGACAGTTTTTGTGGGATGAATAAAATAGCCTGAGGTATAAACCTACTCATAGATGTATGAATATGTATCCCTTTATGGCAATGGGATTATTATTTGGGACATTCTCCCAATGGATATACGTTGACTTTATAATCATGTGTTTTATAGTCATGTGTCCTTTGTAATTTTAATATCTAATAGGTAATAAAGACATGATCAGAGTACTTATTAGACGATATGTAGGTTTGCATCTTTACATCCACGAAAGTAAAGCAAAATTGAATGAAAAGGGGCGTTCTATGACGAAGTTGTTCTTTAGTGAAGAGCGAAGATAACGAATGCTTCAGTTTATTCACGCATTACACTTTGGAATGAGCAAATAACTTCACTTTAAATTTTTTGCAGACGTTTAAAAGTGCCTTCTTTGTATAATTGAAATAAATGATTTTAACTTCGACTAACTTGGTTACTTCATAGCTTGGGATTGGCACGAGGTGACTTATCTACTAGTGATACGCCTCTGGATGGCAACCCGGTGCGATGGACCCGTGACGATACCTATTATCTTATGACTTCTCAAATCAAAAAAAGACATATAAATCTTTAGGTCATTCTAACAACGACATCAGTCGCTATAAACACTCAAAAGTTTATGTCTAAAGAAAGGGTCTAATCTAATTATTTATTATATTTTTGGCTTACTCGCGTTACTGTTTGACGAAGGAACTTGACTAGTTTCAAGCCATACTAGAGGCTCATATTCATGAACAACATTCCATGACCCGAGACGCGGCGATTGTCGCGCTGCTACTGCTTGAGTCAGCTGCGGTGCGGACCCAACGCGACCTCTGCCGTGATTCACGCGCACTTTCCTCCATCTGTGGCGGCGCGCTCGACACCGCTGGTATGTTAGACTCGTTCACCGGTGGCCGCGTTGATGTCGACTTCGAATCCTGGGTCGACGCAAAACCAGTGTTACTTAGCGCGCTGACTGTGTCACACTCTACCGCGCTCACTGGGTCTAATCATATACATTTGCCCTGCAGAGTTACAGTAAATGTTCTGGCAATCTATCGTATTTTGTTAAATAGCGTAGTATTTGTAGGCCATTTACAAGAACTTTTCAACAGTTATTTTAATCGTATAATATGAGTAATGTGTTGTCTATCTATATATTCTTGTCATTATTAAAATATTTTTATTATTAACCTAAGACTTTAATCCGTTAATGTCGTCTAGTCAAACCTCTGGCCACTAAACTGACTAGTTCATAGGTTAAGATAAGGAAAAAGGTCAGGTAAAGATAATAAAAAAGTAGAGATAAAACTAACAAAGATTTACGTTGAACTTTACTTAAATGTACAGTAACACTTCCATATTATTTACCAAAAATTCTATTGAATTGAACAAACACTTTACCTCTGTTATCTTACACCCAAACAAATGTTATGACATACCGAAAATATTTTAGAGAACGTAAAATATTTCTCCATACGAAAGTTAAACAAAAGGGTAGCGCGGGTGTACTCATATACTATATGGAAGTAATAATAATTCTTAGGTTTTTGTTATTTACAACACTTTAATAGTATAATGTAACTAATGCTTTTAACAAATACAATCAACATAAGATTATAATGTTAAATAATAATAATTATTATTATTTTCTAGTTTCCAATGAAGGTGACATTGGAATCTTGAAAACAATTGTAATTCCAGGTCAACGTCAAAAAAGTTTCATTAATATTTTTCTTATGTTTATTATTGATAGGTAGGCGATTGGCCGCTATATCGCCTACCCTAAAATCTTAATACTAAAATGTTTCTCATGTATTTATTAAATATATAATTGTATTTAAACAACTTTTCGCAGTAAAATGTGTAAAACAGAAAAGTGTTAGCCTTGTAGGTTCGCTCCTTTGAAGGCTGGTATGCCAAGCGCGTTAATCTGTGGACGGCATATTTGTTTTTTGTAGACAGAAGTATTTTGGGTACTGCTTCCTGTGGTATTTTATTTATAGTATTCGTTTTTCACGTAACACTAAGTATGTTTGTTAGTGGATGAGTAAAATTGCAATGTAAACGAAATACAAGATTTCATTGACTAAGATTTCTTTCAAAAACGAGAGAAATAGTGTCTGACCGCAACTCCGTTCACGTAGAATATGATTCCTATTTTATTCCATGAGATTATTTAATCAGGAAAAAAGTATCCTATCACCTAAGTCAATCCATACCTGACCTGCCTTTAAACCAAATATCAAATTCATTTAATAATTTCAGTGTGATTGACTTACAAACATCCAAACAAATACACTTTCTCATTTATAATATTAGTGTGATATTGGAGTACACAAAAATAAGTCTGAATCGTTTCAAACATGGCATTTGTCGAAGTGCTGAGAGAGCAAGATTCCACAAATTCAAATAGGAAAGTTTAGAAATGGCACTCACGAGAATTTGTAAGGAAAATAAAGTAAAAGTAGAAACAATACATAAATCGAAAGGTGTCAATCGAAAGGTAAAACAAAACACTGCAACTAAGTTTTGTGACAAGAAAAAACAGTACAGGACATAAATTTTGTTGTAGAAGCCATTAAATTTCGTACTGCGCTGCTGAAAACTTTAACTATTATTGGTATCATTAGTAATATTCACGTAGAACGTTTTGGCGGTTGAGAGGTATTCTGAAATATCAAACCAACATGCAGCATTATTTGAAGTATGTAAAGATTTTAAGTATAGAATATTTTTTTTATATATTCTATATATAGTATTTAAATCGTCTCTTCATATTTTAGAATAATCTACCTAAGTTATAGAACGTCTTTCTGGACATCCAAATACACCAGCCCACCAATTAGTATTTTCTGGGCCTGCCAAGAGGTTAAAGAAAGCGAATGTATTCCCTACCTGAGGGGCGTCTGGAGATAAATAGTCTGCCTTTAAGCACTCCAAACGTCATTTGGCTTTAAACTAATTTGCTCATAGTCTGGCGACTGATTGCAAATGAAAATAAAATTTAAGCACAATGTAATATTTATCAGTTACACTTCATCATGCATCTATGAATTATTTTACGTGTTATTTAGATATTACTTGTCTAAAAAAATATTATAGTTACAATATAAAATATTTAAATATTATAAAACAAACATATATAGTAGTTTGCTACATTTTATTGTATCTTAAATACAATATAAGCTTAGAAGTAAATTACCGGCACTGGGTGTTAAATCGATTTTGTGTTCAAGCAAGTATCACAGAATAGAAGTATGGTATCATACTACAGTTGTATATAATCTGTATTTGGAAAGAATAAAACAGATATTTTATAAATAAATGCATTTCTGACTACAAAAAACGATAAAAAGTCACGAAGCCGACCGAATTAGGGTAACAAAAGACTATGATAATACCTAATGATATTAAGATTTTTAGTTAGGTTATATTTATGGATATGTTGACGAAAAGAAAGGAATTGAAAGGATAATTTTGCAAAAAAAAAATACTTTATATACATACCATGCTCTGTTCTGAATTATTAAGGACATAATTCCTTATACTTTTAAAAAAGGAATCATAAACAAATCCAATTAAAATGCAATACAAACAAATCCTGAGCAAATGCATGGCTTCAATTCCTGTCCAGCATCGTATCACAACAAAGCTATGGACTATTGAACATATTTCCTAGAACATGCTTCGAGATAGCGCGCTTTGTTTTATTGTCAACTAGAAAGCTTTATACTATGAAAAAGGAGAATGCTCAATAGTGGTTGGAGTTGATGATTCCATGAATCAGCCATTTGATAACAGAAATGTGATTAAGCATTCCGAATTGTCAAATTAAGTGCAATTCTCATAAAATGGTATTGTACTCGTAATTTTGAGAACTGTATAGAAATTGAATTAAAGTCTAGCAACAAATATTTTCTCATATAAAAATGTTTAACTTATTCAATGATTTGTTTTTTGAATTGTACACAAATTAGTTCCCAATTTTTTTATGAGATAAACCGGCAAACGAGCAAACGTATCACTTGATAGTAAGCAATTGGCGCTACTCGTGGACATTTTTTGCCAGTTGCCGGCATTTTGAGACTAATGGATTTGAATGATAGGGGTGTGGAGGAATCTTTATATTTCTGTACAAATTGACAATGACGTTTTCTTTGTTTCAGGCAGTGGTATTCAGTGTAGCTCAAGGGCCATTTGTTGAAGAGTTTTATCAGTGCGTCACACACGGGTTCTACACACAGCGGTGGCAAGAGCAAGCATATACTACGATGTCATTGTTCTTCATGTTCATATTACCTTTAATCGTACTTATAGCAACGTATGTGTCCACAGTTAGAACTATTGCAAGTAAGTATTAATTTTCTACAAGTAACTTTATAAAATGTTAATCACTTACATCAGTAACTTTTATAGAAATAATAATAGCTGAGGCTGAAATTATTGATGATAAGACCACAATTTGTAACCAAAATTCATACTAATAGTTCAGAAAATAAAATCTAAAATCGACCACATTCAACCTAACTCACCAAAACCACTCCAGCTACCATTTACTCACATAGGCAGTCAAATATCAGCTCTCCTAGACTTAATATTAAGTTCTTGAATAATTGTGTATCTTGTACAACGTGTTTGAGTAATAACAACAATCTTTGAGTTAAACACCAGGCATTTACAAATACAACATGTAATATGATTACCACGTGACATGTGGACAAAATAATATTTCTTTGTACTAAAAATGTATTCACGTCTATCGTAGCGTGAGTGGAGCGTGTCCAAACACACTGGCCGACGACGGCAAATGTTCTCTGTAGGAATATACTGTATGTGTTGACACGTGTATCGTGTATCTCTGTTTGTTGATACGAACGGGACTAATTTATTGCCCAAATCTAGCGTTTTTAATCTGATATTTTTGCACGCTTCCACTTTAAATGACTGTTAACTGAACTTACATTTTATTATTTTAGAGTTACTTTTGAAATGTATTTATTTGGAGTGAACGGTCGTTAGTCGCAGATAGTTGTGACATTGCATAGTTTTGTCATACATTAAAATAGTCAGCCAAATATAATTAAGCAAAGAAATTATTTTTGTATGAAATACCTACGTCTAGCAAAAACTGGGCGATCAATGACCTCGTATGTTTTGTTTGAGTAGCACGATCTTTATTAACCACACAATTTGAATTTATTAAATCGACAACTTTAAGCCCTTTCCCTACTTTTTTACAACTGGCTCATTTGTGTTTACACACGTTCTTTGTCTTTTTAAAAGAAAACTTCTTTCCATTTTATTGTTCGACTCATATTTGTCACAACTACACTTACATACAAAAATAAAATCATCGAAACGTAAATAAACAACTTTAGTTTTGTTCGAACAGCTGTGTTCAAAAGTTGTATTGTCTGTTGGTTTTCAAAGAAAATGGTATGGCTTGAGAACTGTAACAGATGGGCTTTGTTTCATGCTACAAACAAACAAAGTCATTGAACTTTATGTAAGTTTGAACTTGTAAATATCAATTAGTTGCCTTCTTGAATTAATTTGCCGCTACTTCTACTCTTAGAGTATCGTACCTAGTGATAAGTCGTTTATAAAGTACGATTAATACAACTCGACGTCAACCCCCTCTTTTTTTAAACTCGGTTAATTAATAATATGCTAAAACCTTCTCCTAAGTATATCAAACACTTTTATAAAAACGCATTAAAGTTAATTCAGCAAATCGTGAGATATTTGCGCATATACATACATACATACAGGTCAGACTGCGGGAACGCCTTATTTTTTTTTTTAAATAATTTAATAAAATGATGCACCGCACGTTTTTGGATCAACTTAAACCTGTATATCAGTAGTAATATTAGTATGTCTCGCGAAAGTTTTAATATAAACACTGAAAATAGCAGTTTAACCACGGCATATTTGAATAGTTACTTTTTTATGTGTTAAGCCGGTACACGAGCAGACGGATCACCTGATGGTAAGCAATCGGCGCCAGCCTTGAATACTCGAGACACCAGAGGTGTGCAATGGCGTTACCGCCGAGCTTTTGGGGATTAAAATTAGAGGATTTTTGGGGAATTAGGGATTACCTCCGCCCCAATCTGCCCAATTGAGGAAGGGGGTAATTAGCGGGAGATTTACCTTCAACACTTATCTACCAGCAGCCAAGGACTTAAAATTGCTATATTCAACAGGCTTTTAAACATGTCGATATCCAATAGTTTAACAGTGAACAGTGTATGCATCATGTGTATATTTCTGTCGATGTGTGTTCAATATGAATTGAAACTATTGAATATTTTTATTTCTTTTATTTCATTTTCCTTCGAAGTAATGATTAAAGTGTTTGACAGCTACTTACTACTACTTTTTGTATGTGCCTTTAGGCTTAATTCACTCTGTCTTCTGCAGTATTTTTTTGCATATTACATAAGCCCATTTTCGCTGACCTTACATTTAACCCAAAGGTTGACTGGGAGAAAATGCCATATGGCATTAAGTCCGCCTTATGTACCTTATTTTGTGTGCATTAAAGTGTAAATAAATAAATAAATAATTCACCGAGGGAAGTGGAAACTATCGTTTTTTTCTTCTCCTCATATAATACCTTCTGATTCACTTCGTTGCGGGAACCAAGACAGTTATTTGTGTCCCTGAGGCGCGCCGGACTTCAGTGTTTCGGTGTTTTCATGGTTGTATCTACTGTCCTACTCCTGGCTTACAGGAGTTGGCGGGCTTGTCCCTTTAAAAAAAGCTACTAACTAAAACATGAAGTATTTTACCTACTCTGCTAATGAAAAATCAATACACGTATTTACTGTTATGTTAAAATATTAACCATCTATAGAGACATTTCATTATATCAAGACTAATATTTGTATTTGATGTTTACTTCTCTAAAATAACTATAATTACCGTTTCCATTAGGAATCCTTATTCAAATACAGTATGCCTTAGAGAATATCATTCAGACTACAGCTTAAATATCAGATAGTTATGAATTAGGATTGAAATAATATTACTGTTGAATAAACGTTCTCATCTAAATTTGACTGAATAGTCTGTCTAGATTTAAAATAAGGTAATAAATACACAAAAGTGTATTTTTAGCATCTCATTTCTTAATAAATTTTAAACTTTCACTTCGAACTTTTTTAATTATTTTGCGAGTTCTGCGTACAATTGGCTATGTTGTAGGTCAATTTCAAGTCTAGGCTATTATTGAGAACTCGACATTCGAGAAAACTAGTATAATTGCTCGTGTTATATATAGAAGGATTATATGGGAGTTGACGTAATAATTCATGTCCCTGGGACGCGCCGGACTTCATTGTTCCGGTGTTTTCATGGTTGTATCTACTGTAGATCCTGGCTTACAGGAATTGCAGTGGTTTTAAATAACTGTAGCGGGCTTGTTCTATAAAAAAAGTGTGTTACCGGCCTTTTAGGGATTAGGAATTTGTTAAGACAAACGTGCTTAAAAAATTAAGGCTTTGACTGCCAATAAAAAACTATTAAAGGTAAATCTTCCGCTAACGACGGTCACCAGTGGCCCCCATAGCGTTTAATGTGTTAAAGTTTAAAAAAATACAAACGAAAATAATGATATAAAAACATAAATAATTCACGGTTCGTCGATTTTAATCAAAACTTCTGGCACTCAATTTCCAATTTCCCCTTTTCAAATATAGGTACCAAATACTTGTTGAAGGTCCCACGATTGAAATATTGATGGCATTAAAAATTCAACCTTAAATGTAATTTGACTTTAAAACAATTATTAAGTGCTGTAACCAAATTTTGTAACGAACTTCCTGCGGGGAAAGTGTTTCAGTTATATTGTTAAGAAATTCTACGAACCTCTTTAATAATAACGTCAAGGTTGATATTTAAATAATTATAGCTTGGGAATTAAATTCACTAGTAACTTACCGTACCGCTTTTTATCGGTTAAAAATCTCAAGAATTATATACGCCAGTTATATTATTTATTGATGTTTTTACCTGTAGGTAAATTTGTCTTGAACCACTAGACAGACCAAGAGGAGGGGTTAAGTAAACTATATAAAAAACAGTAATTAAATAAATCATCATCATCATCATCATCATCATCATCAGCCTATAAATACTCACTGCTGAGCAAAGGCTCTTATCACACGGAGAAGGTTTGAGCATTAATCACCACGCTTGCTCAATGCAGGTTGGCGATTTCAAACTTATAATTAGAAATAATAAGTCCAGGTTTCTTCACGATATATTCCTTCACCGTTTGTTAGTGGTGTCTAAATAATCTTAGAAAGTACATATAACTCGGAACAAGTCACATTGGTAAGTACGGCAAGTGCCGTTGGTAGGTTTCGAACCCGCACCCTCATGCATGAGAAGCGGGCGTCTTAAACCTCCGGGCCACCACGACACAAGAAATTATCAAGTCTTTTGTATTTTTCGTTCTGACGTAATAACTTCAATTGTAAAACTGAATGGGGTTTTCTAATAAAATTCCTCTGTAATAAATACCGCAGAATCTGATATTGTCGAGTGTCTGAAATTAGGTTGCCTATTTCTATCCTATCAATCGCCAACAATAAACTTAGATACCGAAAACCAATCCAATCATAACCCATTATACTTATTGCAGAAAATGAAAAAAAGATAATCAGTTTCATAAAACAAAATTGGATGAAGATGATATTTATTATTTTTATTACAAAAATGTAATTCTGTGAAACATTGTGACTTAAAGACAAAAAATACAACTCAAAATGGATATTTATGAAACTGTATTACTTTTTTTGACGTGATCCATCCTTTTGTGGTATTACTTTGAGTAATAAATAGAACTGAATAAGAGGTCATATTCAAAACCGCAACGTATATAATAAATATATTCATCATAACAAAAGAAAAAGGATAAATCTTTGACTCTATTCGAAATCTAATAAAAATGTATCGTTTATATTTCTCATATTTTTCAAATTATCACATACTATAACAAAATTCCTTTCGTTCCATTTGAGAAGCAACATCTTGCTTTAAGTATCGCTTTATGAAATAAGAAAGTATTTTAAAATGAAAGTTCCCGTCTTATACCCAAATTTTCCAAGTTACGATACCTTTGATTAAAAAGTTAGGAAATAAATATTTTTAATAATGATTCGTATTTCTTTTTCAGAGAGTGAAAAGGTATTCAAACCCGAAGTGCGGAGGCAGGAGAAACATTTTACTCCAGATATGAATAGGAGAAGGCTCATTGACAGAGCGAAGATGAAATCTTTGAGGATGTCTGTTGTAATAGTAGCGGCTTTCCTAATTTGGTGGACGCCATATTACGTCATGATGATTATTTTTACATTCCTTAATCCTAACAAAGACGTAAGTAGCAACATTATTTTGCATAAATTATAATCTTATTTGTTTGAGATATTTTTTGAATGCCTCGTTGGCCGAGTGCTCGCAAGTGTGACTGTCGGGCAAAGGGACTTGAGTTCGATTCCCGGGTCAGGATTGATAGAAAGTACTACAAGGTTTTTAATTATTCCCATTAATAGCATGGAGTATGGAAATGTGCCCGGTATATGGCAATAGGCTCACTCCCTATTACGTGGGACTCATAACATAAGTAGTGAATAATGGGTGACACACTGTACAGCGGCCTTAAATGTCGTAATGCACCCTCTGCCTATCCCTTCGGGGATAAAAGCCATGATGTTATGTTATGTTATTTGATAAAATTTTGACTCTCTTGTTATTTATAATAAAAGTCATACCTTCTTTTCACTCCAGATACAAATAAATGTCATAAGAGTCAATACTTTATTTTGAATACCGGCAGTAAAACAAAATACGTTTTATATTAATGTAGGCTGTGTATAAAACAAGTATCAAGTCTAAAGTAAGAATTATTATTAAACTTTTACTTCATATTCACTTTTGTATGTTATCAAATACATGTGTTTGACGACTATTTATGATAATGCCTTTGTATCGAACATTGTTTAAAAAACCTTAAAATGAGTACGCTTTTTGCAAGAATTATAGTCAAAATGTTTAGAGGGATTTATTTCAAAATAAAAATAAAATTAATTGTACCAGTCGTCTAGTCGGTATCTTGATACTCGTTGCTTTGACCTGAGATTAGTTAAATATTGGTCTAGGTTCTGCTGTAAAAATGAAATAATTTTGAATTGAATTTTTTTATTGCAGGAGATTTTAGAATCTGTTTTCAGGCATATAGAGCATATTTTTGATAAGGAGTTTACACTTTTTGGTAATATTTAAAGTTAAGCTGAATTTTTTAATCCTATCAAATTGCACATCGAAGAAAAACGTACACAAACGAATACATTGGTCTGGTAGATCGCTACCAAATTAATGTACAAACTTAAATTTACTTTAACCTCACACTTGGTAATCGTAACTAACCTAACAAATCAAAAACTACAGTTAGGTTAATATATTATTCAAGCGTTGTAAAAATATGAAAAATTAAATAAATCTGAGTTTGCAATTCAATATTTTTAAACTTACTACATAACGATTCGATGCAGAAACTCCGACCGATTTCCAATTGTGTGCGAAATGAGTTTCGAAGTTTGAATTCATTCAACTTTTTACTTTTTTAAATATCAGCTGAACTGATTTTTGTATGAGTTTGTTATTGAGTTTATGTATATTTAATTTAAAATACAGTAGAAAATTATTAACATAAAATAGTTTATTTTCCAAGATACCGAAACTACGTTCAAGTGTAATATGATTACTTACTATTTAACATAATTATTGTACTTAAAAAAGAAGAAAAGAAACTTAACTTAGAAAAGAAACGACGAAGAAGAAGATATAGAATAGAAGAATTATACAATCATTACCTACTCAGTCATAAATTAACATGAATCTGAAACGAATTGTCGACATTATGTCTCGACTTTAATGGCTTTTTCCTTCATAATGTTAATAGCACTAAAAAGCTATGAAATAGAAATGAAATGTCGCCGATTTGAATTAAGCTTGCCACAATCAAATAATCATTTAAATTTAAGTGTCAAAAAGTTAAAACTTAAATCATTTCACATTTTATTTAACTAATCTTAGACCTAAATTATTAAAGTTTCATTGAATTATTTTAATAGTTTGTTCGTAAAACTGATGTTTCATTTGAAAATTGAATAAACTGTTTTATGCGTAATGGCAGCTTTTGTATTACAAACTGTAGTATTTTTGGTCTCGGAAATGGCAATGTCTAATGATCAAATTAGTGTTTTTAGCCAAACGTCACTTTAGCGCTTGTCTACAGAGATAGTAGAAAACTAAATGTATGGGGATGATACTGACAAGTGTCAAAGTTTACGTCAATTCCATATAATTTGGTTTTCTATTCTACATGTAGAAAAGCGCTAAATGGCATTTGGCTACAACAGCAGGCAAGAAAGTACACACAGCTCAAGTTCATGAGCTTGTGCGATTCATTGCATTGATTTCAAAAATGGAAGTTATGTTTGGACAATCCTAACTAATATTATAAATGCGAAAGTAACTCTGTCTGTCTGTCTGTCTGCTACTCTTTCACGCCAAAACTACTGAACGGATTTGAATGAAATTTGGTATACAGATATTCTAGACCCCGAGATAAAACATAGGCTACTTTTTATCGCGAAAAAGGGGTTGTAAGGGGTTAAAAGGGGGGGGGAGTTGTATGGGATTTCATAATTTTTAAAGATAAAACCATGAAACTTTATATTTAAGCACTTGATAAAAAATAATAAAACATTTGTTCTAGCGTTTTTGAAATTTCGACTCACTATGTCGATTTTTAAGAATAATTATTACGATTTATCTGAAAACGTGAAAACGGATATCTGACAGGTAACAACCTAATGATTTGTAATTGTTATGGCGTCCTACTTTCATAATATATTTTGGCATCAACATATAAAAATGAAGTTCTGTGGGTTTTCAAGGAATAATATTAGTATTCAGCTGCATCAGGGATCAGGGATTTTAAAGACAAAATACGAATTCAATTGACTGAATACAATTTATTCATAGACTAGCCTCTGTCTGCGGCTTCTCTCGCGTTCTTTTAATGGGGTGAGGGAAGGATTTACAATAAAAAAATGAAATGATGCACGATTCTATGCTGGTCACAAATAACCCGCATACCAATTGTTAGCTTTCCACATTGAAAATTGCAAAATACCCCATACAAACTTTCACCTCTGTTTCACGGAAGTGGAAGGGGGTTAGAAAAAGACAAAAAGTAGCCTATGATACTCTCCACCTTTTCAACTATCTCAAATCAAAAACCTTCCTGACTCCGTTCTGTCGTGAAATACGGACAAACAAACAAACAGGCACATACAAATTTATATTATTAGTATACATTTCTTAAGTCATCTGACATTTGTGTGACAAGTCAATGTGTCATAGATTTTTTTTATACTATGGTATTAATATTAAGGTATGGAAAGAGGTTGACAGCAGTCTAAGGAGATAAAACCACGAATAAAATATTTTCAGTTTACTTGAATTCGTATTTTTTATATGTATATCAAAAAAACTAGCTAAATGCACATAGCTAAAAAATAATATTAATCCTTTTCATTTTAAACCGTCAAGGCCAAATTCACTATGATAGTTTGCTGTTTGTTTATGGCATAAGCCGGTAAACGAGCAGACGGATCACCTGATGGTAAGCAATCTGCGCCGCCCATGGACACCTGTAACACCAGAAGTGCTAGAAGTGCGTTACCGGTCTTTTCGGAATTGGTAATTTGAGGATTGTCAGGGATTGGGGGGGCTGGGGGAGGGGTAATTGGGCCTCCGGTAACCTCACTTACACAGCGAAACACTCCTTTAGGTAACCGAGGGCTGGGCTCGCTGTCATTGCAGCGGAAAGTCCCCTCTTTAAAAGTGGCTTTAGAGAGGCCATCAATGCAAGGACCGCCCGGAGAACACGGTGGAGCATACCGTGGCGGTGTACCTTGCATGGGCTGAGCACCGCCGTGTTCTCAGGGATGTAGGAAACGGTGACCTCTCGCGTTCGGCTCTGGTTCAGGCCATGGAGCGAGGGGGATTGGGATGCAGTCGCATCCTTCTGCGAAGCAGTTATGCTTGCCAAGGAGAAAGCGGAGCGCGTGAGGGAATGAACTTCCTCACGCCCCAGCCGTCGCGGGAGACACTCTGGGCGTCGGAGATCGGCCGGCCACCGGCCACACCGTAAGTGCGGGTCTGTAGACGAAGAGCAAGGGTAGCTCGCCACCCGACCAGAACCAGTCCCGTGCATACGGCGCGCGCCTTACAGAGCCATGACACCATCATAGATGGAGCCCAGTAGGGCTGATGCTCGATACGGTGCCGCGGGAGGCCTAACGAGTTGACGGGGCTCCGGCTCGACGAGCAGGAGTAGGAACGGAGTGGATTTTAGTCAGTAAGAATCTGTCACTCCCTCTCACCTAACCCAAGGCGGGAGAAGTGATTGGATGATTTTCCGACCTCAAAAAAAATCTCCTTTAGGTAATGACAACCCGATGTGTGAAAAACTACCAAAAAAACTCCTTATATTATTGGTATTGATTACGCTGTGGAAATTATGGACAATAGAGCCAAGGGATGTATTAAGTCTTATAGAGGACATTAATATCAACATTAAAGTACATGTATCATATGTAACTAACCTAATATCAGAATACCAATTTTTTCATTTAAATGTTTGCGATAGTAACGCACGTCGCACCGGTACATATGAGGTCACATTATAGGAGGGAGGAAATCCCAAAATGACGGAAACTATGCGCTAAAAAACCAGGACCAAGGACGTTGAAATAAAGAGGGGCTCTTACTTTTTAAACCATTGAACCTATTTGGTGAAATTCGGTACAGCGATAGTTTGAGACCCGGGAAAGGACATCTAAAAGTTTTTAACCCGAAAAACCCACGAAACTGGGAACTGTGCTGTTAAAATCACTATATCTATTTGATTGAAATGCGATACAACATTGATTTGCAAACATAGAATAGTGAAACCTCACGAGACGGGCACTGTACGGGTAAAACCCCTATGGGATTGTTTATTTTAGAAACCACGAAAATAAATTCATTTCTCAATAAATATAACCTAGGTACTGAATCGATTGTGATGATATTTGTTCCAGTTGTACAGCCGTAGAATATACCTTGACAAAAATTAATTTAAAAAACCCAATTTATACTGAAGTCGTTATTTCACGCGGACGAAGTCGCGGGTAACAGCTAGTTGACAATATTTAAAATATGATAAAACTGGCTGAAACGACTACTCTACAATAAGCAATTGTAATGTAGTTGTAAAAAAACGAGCGAATTGTTTTTTTTTAACCAGTACCTATGTTGTTACGATGACGTAGATCGCATCATAGCACCAGGCAATATAGTGGTCAAACGTCGGCCCATCAAATATATATAAAAAAAACCAACAGACATTAGTTTGAAACTCGTTATAAAATTGCGTGGATTTTTTATTATAAGGATTAAAGTTAAATCAATTAACAGACGAGAACTTTGTAATTTAATTTTTTTCTAAAACACTTTAAACAAAATAAAACTAAAATTAAAATCACGTTTTTAAGAATTTCTAGATTCTCTGAATTTTAAAAACTTATGTTTACAAATTAATTGGACACTGATAAGTTTTAGTGAGAAATAAAGTTAGTTTTCATTACTTGTGTTTGTTCACTGAAGTGATACAAAATTTAGAATATAAATTTTTCGTTAATTATCAACACGTTATTTTTCAAAATGTTGATGATAATCTATATATATAAAAGAAAGTCGTGTTAGTTACACCACTTATAACTCAAGAACGGCAGAATAGATTTGGCTGAAAATTGGTAGGGAGGTAGCTTAGAGCCAGGATACCGACATAGGATACTTTTTAACCAACATTTTTTTTACTTTTTACCGAAAATCACGAACGGGGACGGGAAAAAATGGGATTACGCGTACGAAGTCGCGGGCAGAAGCTAGTTATTTATATTTGTCTCTTAGCTTCGTTGGTAACAAAAAAAAGCTAATCCAAATATTTTGTGTCTTCTATAACACGGTACTGTAGTATTCTTCAACAATTTCATGAGTTGGAGTTTGAAGCGAAGCCTTAAACCTCGTTTCTGGCATCCATTGCGTTTTTTTCTCGTATTACTAGTTTTCTATTTTAATGTCATTTACTTTTATTACCGTCGTCGTATTAACATTAGCAACATTTCCTGCATTCTTAACTTAAATGATCCAGTCCGGATATTATTTCCGCTACTGGAAATTTAATCAATACTGCTTTTATATTTTGCGTCTTTTGTAAACTGAATTAATACAAATGGCAATACAAAGAAACCATTCGAATGAATTAGAACTAGTAATTCATTCGAATGGTTTTTTTTTCATATATATTCATTGGGATGATTCAACGATTTATAAAGGTCACGATGAGTAACTCGAAGAATAATTAGCTAAATGCAATGTCGTTTATTAAAATTAAATTATTATTCATAAAATAGACTTCTACAACTACACCATTATTCAGTTGTACTTTATAGTTTAACTAGAAATTCAATACAAAATTAGGTCATAGACATATGAAAAAGATCATTAAGGAATTCCATAGTTACCATACCTTATATTTAGAGTACGTAAGGTATTATTACCATCATAGATTAATAGGAGGTTAAAACTCAAATGATCGATCCAAAACCTCATACTACAGCTGTATCGCAATGTAAAGTGTGACCAAAAAGTACCAAAGAAGCAAATAAACTTTTTTTATGCGATAAGCCGGTAAACGAGCAGGCGGATCACCTGACGGCAAGTAATCGGCGTCGTCCATGGACACCTGGAACGCAAGAAGCGCCACAAGTGCTTTACTGGCCTTTTGGGGATCAGGAGTTTAAGCTTGTTGGGGATTCAGGGATTAGAGAGATTGAGGAAGGGAGGAGGTGATAATTGGGCCTAATGTAATTAAATTAAAATACAAAATCAAACAATTCTTTACAAAATAAACATCGATACTACGACGTCTCATGTTTCCTTATACTCTAGTATGTATGTATTGTTAACGACAAGATAACCATTCGGTCCTAAGCAAATATTTTGCGATACATGATACAGTGAAGGATATACCTACTTTGTTTTCCAATAAATTCGTAACTAATCCGGGGATAACAGAGACAATCTTGTTCAGAATTTCTAAGATAAATAAATATGAGCTGACGTTTATAATATGAAATCTGTGAAGGGAGAATAATGGAGAAATTGGATATTTTGGTTTCGTTTTTAGCACTATGAAGTAGTGTAAGATCATTGAACTTGCTAATAGCTGTTACAAAGGTATATATAGCTTTTGAATTTCAAGACATTCATATAACTAGCTCCTAGCAACTATGCTAGGAGCTAGTTACTCTCGTAACATTGGTGACTTTAGAGTGGTTTGTCGTTTTGTCATTTTATTCATGCAAACAGGGTGTAAACGGAACGGTCTCAAAAACGCCAACAAGTGATGGTAAAAACGCAAACAAGTTTGATTTTCATACCAGCGACCCACCCCAGCTTCGCACGGGTACAATATGCATGTAAAATACATATAAACCTTTCTTAAGAATCACTTTGTCTACCGCATCAAAATCTGTTCAGTAGTTTTAAAGATCTAAGCATACATAGGGACAGACAGACGGCGGATAGCGACTTTGTTTTATACTATGTAGTGAAAAGTAAGGAATAAAATAATTTTCCTTTTTATGTCTTTTTTAAACGTTGCTTCACGTTAGAATTTTCTCCTGTGCGTTTACAAACATACAAGTTTTGTTTTTATGGCATAAGCCGGTAAACGAGTAGACGGATCACCTGATGGTAAGCAATCGGCGTCGCCCATGGACACCTGGAACACCAAAGGCGTTACAAGTGCGTTATCGGCCTTTTGGGGATTAGGAGTTTGAGGATCGTTGGGGATTCAGAAATTAGGGAGATTGGGGAAGGGGGGGGGGCTAAGTTCACATACATATGACCTTTTATGTAATAATAGTTGTAATTAACCGTTTAAGGCATGTTGCATTAATAATACATAAACAGCGTTAATAGGGATAATAGGGAGCGTTTCGTTTACACCTGTATAGGTACGATTTCCCAGACTATTCTAATTATGTTTATATGTCAGTCAGTCAGACCTAATAATGCCTACAAAATTCGAATGTATGAAGATTACATGACAAATTGAGTTTGATATATTGGTCTAGGATCAAGATCAATAAACTAGACGAAACCCTTCAATTTTAGAATACAATACCTATGGAAAATAGTATTTGCAGATACAGACCTGAGATTTAAGATAGTAGTCGCAGTAGTTCTACAAAGGACATTGTAGTAGGTTAAGGTATCAGTATATACGAACTGTAATAAACTTACATAATATGCAATTTAGGAAGATTTTTTGTTCAATGTAGGTAGGGACCAGTACATATTATGAAGAAACATTAATTATATAACATCATAACTCCACGCCTTTTTATCCCCGAAGGGGTAGCCAGAGGTGTACATTATGCCACTGTACAATATAACACCCACTTTTCACTATTTATGTTATGAGTCCCATGTAATAGGGGCATATACCGGGCACAATTCCAGACTCCGTGCTAGTACTGTGGATTTTTTGAAAAACTCAGTAGTACTTTGCCCGACCTGGGAATCGAACCCGAGACCCCTTATGAATGAGGCAGTCAGAAACATTAATATTTTTTTTAAATCATGCTTTTACTGATGTTTGTTAATTATTGTTTTTTGTTCACAGCAAAGTGAAGAATTACTCAGTGGGATTTTCTTCTTCGGGATGTCGAACAGTCTAGTCAATCCTGTCATCTACGGAGCATTCCACTTATGGCCGAAGAAGAATCGATCTCATCGACACAGTGACAGGTATGATCACATTATTATATTCATTAGATAATGACATTGAGTACAGGTGGTTTCCTAATGGTTGATCTGGAAGTCATTGCAAGAAGCCTATGTTTAGGAGTGGACTTCTTACAGTTGATAATTACCGTGACCATGTTTCTCTAATAACTATCGTGAGACATACTGATTAACTAGAAATTATGGCGCAGCATATTGACGCGATATAACCGCGACACACGCTTCTCATGAGGAGGAGTCCCTCGAACCTAGTAGATCTTTTCTCTTTACGTGAGTAATTCATAATTTTTAGTTAATTTAGTGTGACGATGATATCATTATTATTCATTAATCTATCTCTAATTGATTGCTACGTTGCTTATATGGATGTAAACATGACTGTTGAACAAAAATAAATCTTTATCCCATACGATTTTTGGAACGAATAAAGAGTTATTATTTGTCACTTTCCAAAATACTCAGATATACCTCTAAAACGTAATTTGAAATATTGCTCGGTGCATAGTAAAATATTCGCCTTGTATGTCTTCTATTAAAGTTAATAAATAACGAACATATACGATTTGCTTATTCCTTTAGAGAATAAACAAGGATAGAATAATAGGAACTGGAATGTAGCAGATAGTAATAATAATGATATACATAGCAGATAGCACAAAGGTAATAAAGCAGCCTCTTGTTCGCACATCAAGAGCGTCATATTGAATCTGTAGCGCAATACAACAGGCGGGTACACATATTTAATGTGTGGGCACTATTTTACTCATAAAATAACATCTATTGGACTTATTTTAGGGTATACAATTTCGATTAGAAGTACTAATAAGTTAAGGATACGATTGTTATTGTAAAAAAATATTTGCATAAAATAAAGTTAAAAGTACCCTTAACCGACGAGCATGCATGAAAAGATTGATGACTGTTAATGAAGCGAAAGAGGTATGTAAGAATCGTAGTAATTGGCGTTCCTTAGTCTCTGCCTACCCCCATGGGAGACAGGCGTGAAGTTATGTATGTATGTATGTAAAGTTAGTAGAATTTTTCAGGTAGGGTAATTACATTCTAAGTTTATTTTCTAAGTCAGTATTCAGTCCAGTAATGCGGGTGCGTTCAAAAAATTTCGCTATTGACCCTGTTGTAACCATGCAGTTACATTACTCATCACCACTTCATTCTTTAAAATATTCTCTATTTAGCTGCCAAAAACAGCTCCTTCTATTAAATAGGATATATACCCAAATAACACTGATATTTCCAGAAGGATAATTTTTAATTATGTCGCCGATATTAAACTGGCAGTAGAAAAGTATTTTTCGTAGTCTTTTCCATCGAAATTGTTATGAACTAGTTTATGAATTTTTCATTCGTTTGGACATGGATTCAGCTGGTCAATGAATGCTCACTGAACAAGAGTCGTATTTTGAAAAGTTTAATTGAAGTTTATTTTTAAAGTATTACAATTAACAAAGTTGGCGGTTGATAGTCATTAGGTAATATTCCCCCATTAGCGATCACAAGAATTACGCGTAATGGATAGCGAGGTTGTCACAGGATTATGTTTCCAAACTGTACTAACTACCATAAACTTTGCCGATTGTATATAGGTACATAATATATTTGCGTATTTTTTGTTCGTCATTGTCAAAAACAATCTACCAATTCCCTGCTAGACTATGAGCCGCCTCTATATAAGAGAGGGTTTGTCATATTCTCTGGCAGGAGTGTAGACATTAAACTTTCAGAATTATACATGATGGTACTGATAAATTTAGGTAATATAATTAACTGTGACCTATATTTGATCACAAACATTCTTAGTGCGATAATAACAAATAAAACTTTAATAAAATAAGTTTCATACAAAGTAAATATTAATGAAAAGGATGATGCCAAAAAGGTTGCTTATCAAATTTAATCTTTGTGCTAATGACAAGATAATTAAAATAAAGTTAATTAAACACCCTTGTTTTGTTTGTAATTAAGTTGGGTGTACTTATTGTTACATACTTTTCATTTACCCTTTATGACTGAGTTGTTGGTCTGGAAATCACTAGACAAGTAGCTCAGTACTAAATTCTAGAAATAAACTGAATTGTGGCAGTGTTTTATGAACGAAGGATGCGTATAGTAAGGAAGAATAGTGTAAGGAAGAATATCAGTGATGCGAAGAAAAACCGAATAATTTTTTTATAACAAGTCAACTACTAATGGTTTACTGTCTAGATTTTACCAATGGTACCAATGGCACTTGACTTATATCTATTAAAATAATTGTAACCTGATCATAAAATTTTAGTGTAGGAGAGCTAATCGTTCGTCACGAATGAACTGGCTCGACTGGAGTGATACCACGGCCTCACAGAAAATCGACGTCAAAAGATTGACGACTTTCGTACAGACGCTCGCATTGTATTTCGTCGTACCTATGTGTGAACTTCCTAAAGGCGCAATTACTCCAATCCTCAAATCCCCAACATTCCTCAAATTCCTAATACACAAAAGGCCGGTAGCGCACTTGTAACACACACCTTTCAGGTGTCCTTGGGCGGCACCGATTGCTTCAGGTGATCCGTCTGCTCGTGTACCGGCTAATGCCATAAAAAAATATCAAAATTCAGTGTGATAAAAGTTGAGGTACTAATATGAGTTCTGTTTACTAGACATTGTTATCTATTGGAAGCAATATACTTGTTTGCAGAGAATAATTTATTAATAATTTCTTTAGCCTTGATATTTTCTTGCCCTATGAACAAAAATAGATCTAGTTTAAAGATAAAAGCATACCTGAATTGTTTACCACAGAAAGGCAAATCGATGGAAAAGAAAACATTCTTTCAATAGTAATAAAGATTGATGAGTCTCTATATAAATAAATTCGGTAAACCTTTTGTCAAGGAAAACAAGCCTAGTTTTAGAAGGTTACCCCTAAGTTCGCTTTTATTCAAAGAAAACAAACTCTATTTCTTTTGTTACGTAGGTAATAGGAATTTAAATATACACAAAATGGTTTCTTTGTGTTTTTCTTCAAAAATGTTTTATCCTTTAAATATGTTAGTCTCTTAACGCCTCAACGAATATCTTGAATACTGATGAGGATAAAATAAATCAATGCTAAGCCGTGCTGAGATATTTGCTTGGCAAATATTTTTATCAGCCTATGTAATGGTAAAATCGATAATAATAGCGACTGTAGAAATATGTTTATTATAAAAAAACGGGTATCGAAAACACAAAAAATGACAATAACTACGTGATAATCTGTATATTTATTTCCTTTACTTAGGAAACAAATTCTTAGCCAGAAATGTTGAACTGTTCGCTAAAATAATGATGAAACGTTTAAAAATATACAATAACTAATTTAATTTCGTAATTGTAAGTGAACAGAAGCATCTTAAACAGATAAGATTGATTGACAGTTTCTTTTTTCTGTATTCATGTCCAATTCGCAAAGGGAATTAACAAAATTCTTTTAGATTTATGCTGGGGTCGAACTCCTAATCTTGTGAAAATAAATGTTTATTTTTTATTTATTTATATTTATATATTTGATGGGCCGACCTTTGACCACCATCTCGCCTAGTGGTAACCGATGATGTGGTCTACGATGGAGCACGTCTACAATTATATGATCCATATTCCGAAAACATTTTTATTATCAGTCTTAATTTTGTCTATCACTTCTAATTACGTATTAGACAAGAAAAATGCACTATACTTTGATACCACGGCTCCCTAATCCAAGACTTATAACCATCATCACTGATACAAATAGGTGAGACGCACCACGCTGTCCTGAGATATAGAATGATAAACGGAGGCTTTTACCACATATTTTGTCAGCTGAGACTTTGTGACCTCATTTGAAGTCACACATGACAACACGAATTTTATTCCATGAACTACTAAACAAAATACTAAGCACAGATAAAGTTAATATACTTATTTCGTATAAACTGATTTTTAAACAAGTACTACAAAATATATATTTTTATGGAATTATTCACTGTCCACATACACTAAAATTGAGTGGGATAAATTATATCACTGTGTCAGCCAAATTAATTTTAACCCAGTTTATGAAACGGATGATTGCAACATCGCACTGAGTCATTTAATAGGGGAACTGCAACTAGCCTTACACCACAACTCTGCAGTCGTCAGACTTCCACACCGTAAGCGGATAATTAAACCTTGGATTACACCTGGCTTGCTGCGCTGCATCCGACATAGGGATAAACTGCACAAAAATATGAAGTCATCTCCAGACAACCTTATACTTAAAACAACTTATACCCGCTACAGAAAATTTTGCAGTAAAATCCTCAAAAAAGTTAAACGTAACTATGATAAAGAGTTAATTCAAAAGGCTGGTAAAGATAGCAAAAAATTGTGGGACTCGATTAAAATAATCACAGACACAGCAAAACCAGTCAATCTCCTAACGAACTACTTGCCTCCCTAGACACTCCCCAGCTTTCTATTGATTATATTAATGCTTATTATACAAATGTGGGTAAATCACTAGCTGAAAGTATCACAAAGGGACGGACGGGAGTTCCAGAGGCTGTAGAGGGTTACCTGTGTCAAAATTTAGATTCCCTTGTTCTCTTGGAGACTGACCAAGATGAGGTCGGAGACCTTATTGGTGCGCTTAGGAATGAGTGCTCAGTGGGATGGGATGGTCTGTCGAACAGGTTCCTAAAGACTCATAAAGGTATCCTTGCGACACACTTAACTTATATATTTAACATGTGCTTGTCGAGGGGTGTTTTTCCCCACAGATCTAAAAAAGTCACAGATCATCCCAATTCACAAGGGCGGGGACAGGGACCGTGTTGAAAATTATAGGCCTATATCTATACTACCATCGCTGTCTAAAATTCTAGAAAAAATCATAAACAAAAGACTTGTCAATTACCTTGAACACAATAAATTACTATCAGATGAACAATACGGCTTTCGCCATGGACGCTCAACTGATGATGCAGTTAGCAATCTCA